AGAACCTTTCAGAAATGTTCGTACATACAGAAAGAAGCATGCCCGAGGATATTCTTTTGCAGGGTTGGTTGTATTAGTAAAAAACTGGGGATGTGACGAATGCCCATTGGCAAAAAGTTGTTTAAGGTAGTGGCTCCTGACCAGAGGTGGTTTTGCCCCCGAGGACCTTTGCCAACATCTGAGGACATTTTTGGTTCTCTCACCTAGGAAAGTGCTACTGGCATCTCGTGGGTGGAGACCAGGATGCTGCTAACCCTCCTACCGGACAGCCCCTACCAAAAATTACCCAGCCCCAAATGTCAGCAGTGCTGAGGCTGAGAAACACTGGGTCAAATAAAACTGCAGCCAGTTGAAAGAAAAGGGTAAATCTGTGCCATTAAAGATCTCCAAGACGTGTCATTTTTTTAAAAAATGCTTTTTTTCACAGCTTAATATGAGATTTTTTTTATAATACAAGAAAATAAAATAGCAAATTTGAAAAACTGCTAAATAATCAGTTCTCCCCAGAGGCGGTCAGTTTCTTATGTGTCCTTCCGGAAATAGTCCCAGCATGGACAAGCATATTTGGTTTTTAATAAGCTGCAGGAACTTTGCTGCATGGTTAGAATCAGAAACCAGTGCGTTAATTAGCGGGCTGCTCGAGACCTGCACCTGACGACCCCTGACATAATGTTCTTTCGATTATTCCCCCTCCCTTGTGCTTTCAATGGCATTTTTTATTTTTGGATACAGAACAGAACTGTGTGCTGGGGCTTGGGATGGGAAGGAGCCTGTACCAAGAGTCTTATATTGATGAGCGAGGCGGGGATCCAGTGGAAGTAAGCCGGGTGAGGGTTCTCTCTCATGTGGGTGTTAATGAGGTTCCACAAGGGCCTTTATGACCAGCGGGGACTTTAACAGGAAGGTGGGGGGAAATTTCCTTCCACCGCAGGGCAGAATTCAGCCGAAGTTAGAAGCATATCAAATTCTCTTCCTGCCTGCCCACAGCCAAGCAGTCATTTACGGGCCCGCTTGCATCTACAAATGCACTTTGCAATCACTGACTCACCCCATCTCTGACTTTTTTAACAAGCCTGACTTTCATCTCCTGGGCTTTTCCAGAAAAGCCTCTTAGAATTGGGTCTGAGACCTTTTGATGTTGGCTTTCACCAGCTACTTCTCTTTCTCCTGCCTGTCTCCCTCACTGAAACATTATTCCAAGATCAGGATAAAAGCCCCCACAAGAAGGTGGGGTTGGGTGACCTGCCTGCATCCAGCCCAGGGTTCTTGAACCGTAAGGTGTCTGGGGCCATCTTCAGCCAGATGCAGGCACGCTCAGCACACCAGACTTGGCAGGTGCATGGGAAGATCAAGCCTACTTGAAAGAATGTTCCAGGTCACAGACTGCAGGCAGCAGGTGATTTCTTCCTTGAGGCACCCACCCGGGCTGAGAACCTGAGCAAGCTGCCTGGCACCTGGCTGTGGAGACAAGGATATTTTATTTTATTTTATTTTATTTTACTTTATTTTTAAAGATATTATTTATTTATTTGACACACACACACACACACACACAGAGAGAGAGAGAGAGAGAGAGAGAGAGAGCACAAGCAGGGGGAGGGGCAGAGGGAGAAGCAGGCTCCCCGCTGAGCAGGGAGTCCAATGCGGGGCTTGATCCCAGGACCCTGGGATCATGACCTGAGCCGAAGGCAGATGCTTAACTGACTGAGCCACCCAGGTGCCTGAGACTAGGACATTTTAGTTGCAGAGTTGTGGCGGAGGGACATTCGTTTCTCTCAGGTGATGTCGGCCTGCTTCATCTGTAAAATTTAAACCCACTGCTGCTTTCACAAAAATCATCTCTTCTTGCAAGTAAGAAGTCTTATAGAATGAAGTCAGAAATGACAGTTTGGGGGATGAGGGGGTGGTTTCGATCTGAGATGATTCCAGTGATCTGAATGGTGCCACAGCTGGTGTGTGAGACCCTGGCTCTGAGTCGAGGGCACTTGCAACATTACTTTTAAACCCCTGGACGTGTGTGCTAGAGATTTTATTTGCAACTTTCATGGCAGTTCGATATTAAAAAACACACCTTTATGAGGGGAGCTAGAGGGCCCCCGGGGAAACAAGTTAGTCCATTGGATGGTATCACATTTAAGTTACTCTAAACAGAACCACGTGTGCCTTCCAGAGACCTCCCAGCCTTCCTCACTCAGCCTTGAAATCAGAACTCCTCCTTCAGGTTGTCTGCGTTCTGCTGTGTTTTGATTTGCTTTTCTAACTGGAAATAAGAAGAGGTCTGAGGGGGCTGTGGTTGTGGCGGGGTGGGGGGGGATCCATACCCTAGGGCCTTTTTTCCACGATTATCTGGCTTGCTCATTCTTCCTCTTCACCTTTCTGCCTGCCCTCTGAGTATTGATCTAGAAGATTCAGGGGTCTCCAGGATTTGCAGAGGTTACCTGCTGGCCTTAGAAGAGTTCTGAAAAGTTTGGTGTCAATTAAAAAAAAATTTTTTTTTTTGAGTGCGCTGGCTAAGATGCTGGCCATTTAAAGTAAGAATGAGTGAATTACTGGACAAAAAGAAAACTTTTAGTTGCGTGCGTTAGTGTATATCATCTGTGGTCTGCATGAGATTTTCCAAAATTGGGATTCTTGGAAGAAGAGCACATGGTAGGCAGCCTTAGACCGATTGAACAGGATTCAGGAAGTCTTCTTTTACGAGAATGTTTTCCAGGGGGGTCTGAGATGATTTTGTGATAGAGCAGTAACATCCTTCCTCCCTGCAAGGTCCTCAGCCCTGGGAGCTCAGAGGGGAAGACCTGCACGGACCCCTGTGTTCATTGGGAAACTCCCGCATCTCTGTGTCACCACGAGAGAGAGGTGACTCTGTCACAGATGAAGAGTCGTACAAATTAGTCTAATCTTTGCATTAAATTCGGCACAAATTTGCTTCTCCACCTAGGAATGGCGCTGCATAATTCTGAGTTCTCTGCATTTTAAGGCAGGCCTTGAAGCCCCCGACCCCCGTGCAAAAAAAAGTCAGCGGGAGGTGGCGAGACCCGTAGACTGAGAGACTGAGGCCTGCGAATAGGGACTGATGAGCGGCAAAACTCTGGTGAAACCGCCCAGTACTGGGTGAAGCAAAGCCCCCCCCCTCACAGCTTTAAAACAACCTCAAGGCATGAATCATTATATTACCAAGGCTGGCTGGCTTGAGAGGAACCGAAAAAATGAAAATACTCACGTTGCTCATTAGCAAAGGGGAATACGCAAATGTTGAGGGTCCCGTTGTGTCCGAGCCCCGCTGCTGTTTGGGTTTGGCAGGCAGAGCGCTTCTCTTGCACGCGCCTTCATCTTCATGCCAGATTCTCTTCTCACCCTTGCGCCTGGTGTGAGGAGTTGGCCAGAGTGGAATGAGGGGCTTGAGAAAACAGAGCGTGTTTCACACTGACCCTTTTAACCAGTGTTCAATCCTTTTTGTGATTTAATGCTTGTTATAGACTCACATTTTCTTTTTTTTTTTAAGATTTTATTTTATTTTTTTGAGGGAGAGAGAGAAAGAATGAGCAGGGTGAGGGACAGAGGGAGAAGCAGACTCCCCACTGAGGAGGGAGCCAGAGGCGGGGCTCAATCCTGGGACCTGGAATCATGACCTGAGCTGAAGGCAGACACTTAACCGGGGCACCCCTGGACTCACATCTTCTACAGCAGGTTTCTCCATGATAGCACAATAGTCTCGGCCACACTTGAAACCAGATGGTTCTTTGTTGTGGGGTTTTCCTGTACATTGTGGGGTGTTCAATGGCACCCCGGCCTCTACCCACTCAATGCCTGCAGCAGCCTCCCATAGTGGTGACAACCAAACTAGACATTGCCAAGTGTCCCATAGGACACAAAATCTCTCTCTCTCTCTCTCTCTCTCTCTCTCTCTCTCACACACACACACACACACACACACACAGCCTTTGTTCACTGTTCTACAGGAAAGAAGCAGTAAAAAAATCATTTTTGTCCTAAATTAGTTGTACTTTTAAAATAGATCCTAAGGTTTTCCATACATTTAATGCCTGTGTGTTAGTGGTTTATTTCCTATGTGGGGTAAATAAGATTTTATTCTTTTTGAATGGCCTTCACAAAAACTCAGAATCTTCTCTCTCCTCTTCCGATCTGCTCTCCCGTGGGATTCATATGTTGCCAATAACTTACCAGATCTGTTAATTCATTAATAGGTCATTAATTTATTAATCCTGCACATTCATTCATTTGCAATAGTATACTTGGTGAGCTCTCACCACATGCCCGGTGGTGAGCAAGCGCCGCCTTGAATAACCAGGATTCCTTTCTGTTTCATAACATATCCACCTTCCTCGGCTTGCCTCTGAGGAGGGCTTACATTCTTGGAAGGCAAAACTGCATCTGACATGGAGCAACAGGTCCTAGGAGTCAGACAGACTCGGGTTTCGAATCCCACCTCCACTGCTTATGAGCTGGGTAGCCTTGGAACCATTACTGAACCAGTGTACCTCAGTTTCCCAATGTGAACATGGGGGTGATGCCCTCTCCATGGCAGCTTTCTGTGAAGTCTCAAGGAAATCATGTACATCAGGCATCAGTAAATGGTACCTTACTGTCCATCCGCCAGCCGGTAAGTCGTGACATAGGAGCCGCCGTCTTTGTGGGTCCAAAACGGCCAAATAGTGGCAACTTCCTACAGTTCAACCTAATAGGTAAATAAATGGAATGATTCTGCTTGGTTATTTTCCTGCATTCCCACCCTCTCTCTGAGGAGGCATCCCACTGGCACAACAGAGCGCACTTCAGAGGATAAACCCACTTGGCTGCAGCAACAGCTCACGTGTGTCTTAAAAGCTTGCACTCTGGGAACTGGCACTTTCCCAACCTTGCAGCCAGTTTGTGAGGAGATCACCAGAATTGCAGCAATTTCTCCGTGTGCTGAGGTTGTTTGTTCCCTGGGCGTCCGTTGTGGGCTGGTCTGTGACACGTCTGCATTTCTGTTCCAGGTCACGCTGCTGATCGCCTTCATCTGCGTCAGGAGTTCTGTGTGGATCAGCTACAGTGCCTACAGCTACTTTGAAGTGGTCACCATTTGCAACTTGATAATGATCCTCGCCTTTTATCTGGTGCACCTCTTCCGCCTCTACCGCTTGCTCACCTGCATCAGCTGGCCACTGTCGGTAAGGGGGTGGCCCAGGGCCCCGAGACCTGACAGACTCCGTCCCATCTGCCCCTCCCCCACAGCCCCCCCTCCTCCATCACCTCTTCCTGCTGCAGCCCTGAACTTCTCACTGTCTGGTGGGCATCTCAGCCCATGTCCCGCTGGTTTCTAAAGCTCACCTTCCAGGGGCGCCTGGGGGGCTCAGTTGGTTAAGCGTCTGCTTTCGGCTCAGGTCATGAGCCCAGGGTCCTGGGATCGAGCCCCGCATCGGCTCCCTGCTCCACGGGAAGCCTGCTTCTCCCTCTCCCTCTGCTGCTCCCCTTGGCTGTGTTCTCCTGCTCTCTCTGTCAAACAAATAAATAAAATCTTAAAAAAAAAACCCAACTCACCTTCCAGTGACAAGAAAGCTGTGTGTGTGTTTTCTCCAGGGACAGAAAAGGGGCCGACTCTGTGTGTGAGGTAGGAGGAGGAAGCTGATAAAGGCGATGGGTGTTTATACTGTTGTGATAAGATTTGTCAGCTAAAAGGGACTGGGGGAGTCTGAGGAAAGATTCCAGAAGTTTCCAGGATTTTTTTTCTTCCCACTATATTATTATTTAAATAGCTTGATTGACATACAGTTCACATGCCATACAATTGCCCACTTAAAGTGTTCAATTCAACAGATTTTTTTATAGTCCCAGAGTTGTGCAAGCATCACCACAGTCGATTTTAGAACATTTTCCTCGCCTCAAAAAGAAACCCCATCCCCTTTCGCTATCACCTCCCACCTCTCATCTTCTCCAGCCTGAAAGCAACCGTGAATCTACTTGCTGTCTTGTGAATTTTCCTATTCTGGACATTTCCTGTAGGTGGAATCATATGCGTGGTCTTCTGTGACTGGCTTCTTTCACTTAGCAGAGTGTTTTCATGGTTTATCTATGTCGTAGCGTGGGTCAGTACTTCATTTTTTTAATAGCCAGGTCCATTGAAAGGATAGACCACATCTTGTTTATTCGCTTATTGGATGGACATTTGGGTTGTTTCCACCTTTTGGGTATTATGAAGCAGTACGAATAATGCTGCTATGAACATTCGCGTACAAGTTTTTGGTGTGGACATGTTTTCATTTTGCTTGGGAACATACCTGAGAGTGGAGTTGCGGGGTCCCATGGTAACTATGTCTCATTGTTTGAAGAACGGCCAGACTTTATTCCACACTGGCTGCCCCAGTTGACATTCCCATGGGCAGTGTATGAGGGTTCCAGTGTCTCCATAGCCTTCTCAACACTCATTATTTTCTGACTTTCTGAATTCAGTCACGATAGCGAGTGTGGAGGGGTATCTCATGGTTCTGATTTGCATTTCTCTGATGACTATTGATGTCAGTCATCTTTTGATGAGCTTTTTGGCCATTTGAGTATTTTCTTCAGAGAAAAGTCTGTACAGATCCTTTGCCCATTTTTGGATTAGGTTGTCATTTTATTACTCAATTCTCAATTCTCCTTTGTATATTTTAGTGTCCTTAACCTTGCTGAACCCATTTTAGATCTAACAGATCATTAATGGATTCCTCAGAGTCCTTTGTATATTTTAGTATATTTTAGTTACAAGTCCCTTACCAGATAAATGATTGGCAGATATTTTCTCCCATTCTTTTGGTTGTTTTTCATTTTCTTGATAGTGTCCGTTAAAGCACAAGTTTTTAATTTCAATGTGCTCTAATTTAATTACTTTTCTTTTTTTGGTATAAAAAAAATGTTTGTTTGGTGTTTTGTTTTGTTTTGTTTTGTTTTGGTATAAAATCTAAAAGGCATTGCCAAATCCAAGAGCATGAAGGTTTGCCTCTATGTTTTCTTCTAAGGAGTTTCATACTTTTAGCTCTTACGTTTAGGTACTCAGTCTATTTTGAATTAATTTTTGTGTCTAGCGTGAAGTAAGGATTCAACTTCATTCTTTTGCAGGTAAATATCCAGTTGTCCCAGCACCATCTGGTGGGAAGACCATTCTTTCCCCCATTGAATTGACTTGTCATCCTTGCTGAAAATTAGTTGACTGTAAACACATGGATTTACATCTGGCCTCTCAATTGCATTGATCTTACCCCACTGTCTTGATTGCTATAGATATGTAACCAGTTTTGAAATTAGGAATTATGAATCTTCCCATTTTTTTTCAGGATTGTTTTGGATTTTTGCAATTTCATATGAATTTTAGAATCAGCTTTTTAGTTTCTACGAAAAAGTCAGCTGGGATTCTAATACAAACCATTGAATCTATAGATCGATTTGGAGAATATTGCTATTTTAACAATATTAAATCCTGTGACCTAAGAACATGGAAGGTTTTCCCATTTATTTAGATCTTTAATTTCTTTCAACAGTGCTTTGTAGTTTTCAGAGGGTAAGCTTTGTGCTTTTTGGAGGGCGGAGCTTAAATTTGTTCCTAGGTATCTTACTCTTTTTGATGACATCCCAAATGTAATTATTTTCTTAATTTCGTTTTGGGATTGTTCATTGCAAGTGGACAGAAATACAAGAGATTTTTGTATATTGATCTTGTGTCCTTAACCTTGCTGAACTCATTTTAGATCTAACAGATCGTTAATGGATTCCTTAGGATTTTCTATACAAGATAATGCCATCTATGAATAGAGGTAGTTTTATATTCCCCTCCAATCTGAATGCCTTTTATTTCATTTTCTTATCTCACTGCAAGAAATTAGTTGAATATTGAAGTGGCAAGACCACACATCATTATCTTGTTCCTGATCTTAGGAGGAAAGCATTCCATCTTTCATCATTAAATATGATGTTATGGATTTTTTAGATGCCATTTATCAGATTGAAGAAGTTAACTTCCAGTCCTACTTTGTTGAGTGTTTTTATCATGAAAAGGTATCAGATTTTGTCAAATGCTTTTTCTTTGTTGAGATAATCATGTTTGTTTTCCCCTTAATATTCTGTTAATATGGTGTATCACATTGATTTTCATATGTGAAACTAACATTTGCATCCCTGGGATAATTTCTGTTTGGTCATGATACATAATTCAGTTTATGTGTAGCTGGATTTGGTTTGCTAGTATATTGTTGAGGATTTTTATATTTGTATTCATAAGAGATATTGGTCTGTAGTTTTCTTGTGATGTCTTTGGTTTTGTTATCAGGGTAATACTGGTCTCATGGAGTGATTTGGGAAGTGTTACCACCTCTTATATTTTTTAGAAGAGTTTGTGAAGAACTGGTATTAATTCTTCTTTAAATGTTTGGTAGAATTTTGCAACGAAGGCATCTGAGCCTGGGTTTTTCTTGTGGGTAATTTATTATTATTATTAATTCAAACTTGACTTGTTATAGATCTATTCAGATTGTTTATTTCTGCCCAAGTCATTTTCAGTGGTGTGTCCTTAGAGGAATATGTCTATTTCATCTAAGTTTTCTAATTTACTAGTATATAGTTGTTCATAGTATTCCCTTAAAATCCTTTTACTTCTGTAAGATCCATAGTGATGTCCCCTCCTTCGTTTCTAGTTTACTAGTATATAGTTGTTCATAGTATTCCCTTAAAATCCTTTTACTTCTGTAAGATCCATAGTGATGTCCCCTCCTTCATTTCTAATTCTGGTCATTTGAATCTCGTCATCTTCTCTCTTTTTTTTCTTGATCAGTCTAGCTAAAGGTTTGGCTATTTTGTTGATCTTTTCAAAGAACCAGTATTGGTGTCACTATTTTCCCTATTGTTCTTCTGTTCCCTATATCATAGTTTCTGCTTCAATCTTTCTTTCCTTCTTTCTCCTTGCTTTAGGTTTAGTTTGTTCTTTTTCCAGTGTCTTAAGGTGAAGATTAGGTTATTAATTTGAAACCTTTCTTCCTTTTTAATGTTAGGTATGTATAGCTATAAATTTCTTTCTGAGCACTGCTTTAGTTGCATCCCATAATTTTAGTATATTATATCATCATCTTCATTCATCTCCGGGTACTTTCTAATTTCCCTTGTGATTTTGCATTTGATTGACCCAGTAGTTAGGAATGTGTTAATTTCTATGTATTTGTGGGTTTCCCAAAATTCTTTCTGCTATTGCTTTCTAATTTCATTCTGTTGTAGCTGAAGAACATACTTCATATGATTTCAGTCCTTCACATTTATTGAGGTTTGTTTTATGGCTTAGCATATAGTGTCTCCTGGGGAATATTTTGTGTGCATTTGAGAAGAATGTATATTCTGTTGTTGGGTAGAGTGTCTTATACATGTCTGTTAGGTCTAGTTGTCTTATAGCATTGAGTCTTCTATTTCCTTGTTGGTCTTCTCCCTAGTTGTTCTACACATTATTGAAAGTGGGGTATTGAAGTCTCCAACTAGTATTTTTGGATTACCCATTTTTTGCTTCATGTATTTTGTTGCTTTGTTATTAGGTGCATACGTGTTTGTAATTATTCTGTCTTCCTGATAGATTGCCGTTTTTGTCATTGTAAAATGTCCCTCTTTGGTAACATTTTTGTTTTAAAATCCATTTCACCTGATACTAGTATAACCACTCCAGCTTTCTTTTGGTTGCTGTTTGAATGACCTGTCTTTTCCTTCTTTCTGCTGTCAATCTATCCGTATCTTTGAGCATAAAGTGTTTCTCCAATAGACAGCATGTAGTTGGATTTTCTTTTTCTTTAAGTAGGCTCCACGCCCAGTTGGATCCCAACATGGGGCTTGAACTCATGACTCTGAGATCAAGACCCGAGCTGAGACAATTAACCCAACTGAGCCACCCAGACACCCCTGTATCTTTTTTTTTTTAATCCAGTCTGACAACCTCTGGATTGTTTAATTATTCACATTTAATGTTATTACCTGCTGTGTTATTTTGAGAGACATTTCTTTTGTGTTCCTAAGGTAAAGACCCCCTTTCAAAGTTATGGCACCTTTCTGCTTCTTTTGAGAGCAAGGTCCTCTGGTAGTGATGCTGATACTGAAACACTCTGAGGAGAGAGAAAGGTTGGGGGCAGGGATGGGGGTGGGTGGAGAGGGGAGTGCATGTTGGGGGGTAACCTCAGCCCCACATTTTTGATGGGGTACTGTCGAGGCACTTTCCATCTGGGACTCTCTCAAGTCGGTTTCCTCGACCCCATGTCTTACTCCTCTTTCTTCATGGGTGAGCACCTCGGAGGTAGGGAACCCTTAAGCTACCGATCCGCTCTTCAGTCAACATCTCTGGGGTCTACCTTCTGACATTCCTTTCTAGTCGCTAAAGGAGAAACTGGGGCCTTTGATTTCGCACGGCTTTCAGAGGAGCTGCAGGTTAAAAGTGGAATGCTTTTCCAGAATTTAATAGGTGCCTGCCCTTATGGGCAGGACTTCACGGAGGACTAATTTCTGAGTCCTCGTGGAAGACAACTGAAAATGAATACACTCTGGATCCTCTCATGGCCCTAAGCCCCAGTTCTCCTCTGATCTGGTGTTTAATGGGGAGGAAGAAGGAAGAAGGTGGAAGCCTTACCCTGCTCCTGAATGACAGAGGTTCAGCCTCATTCAGGGCCTGCAGAGAGGGCATTTTAAGCCCGGAGGGTGAATGGGGTGCAGATGGACGGAAGCAGAGGTGGAATCTGCCCTGCTAGCAAACTCCTCAGCAGTGTGGCCTGAGGGCACACTCCCAGACCGCAGAGAGAAGACGAAATGAGGACAAAGCGAGGAGGCTTATTAGGAGCCAGAAAGTCAGCTCCCCCCGCCCCCAATAAGCACTTCACAGAAGGCTGCTGACCTCACCCTGGGCTGTGACTCCAGATCTGAGGGGGCCAGCGCCTCCAGACTGCACCTAAAACTGTTCACAGAGTGGGCAGGCACTCCAGGCAGCCACCAAAGCTAGCACGTTGTTAGCCCAGAACTTTCTGTGAAGCAGAAGTGAGAGGTACACATCTCTTGAAGGGGCTCTGCTTCTCAGAGCTGGAGCTTCCTTTAAACTCTGCGAGTTGTGGGAAGCTGTTGGCTGGAGGTCCGGGTGCTGTCTACAGATCGCTCTCAGGAGGGGAGCAGTCCTTAGTGGGTATCTCTCCTCACATGACAAGTGTCCTTTCTCCCTGTCACCTCTCTGGCTGCCTGCCCGGCTCCTTTTCTGTTTTGCGGGGCCTCATCCTGGCCGGCCTCCTGCAGCTGCTGCCTATGAGCGAACTGCTCTGTCAGGATGTCATGAGGAGAAGACGAGGTGCCACTCCCTCCCCTCTGTTCCTGTCTTCTGTGCCCAGTTGCCTCTGAGAACCAGGAGTGGACCTCCCGACCCACAGCTTTGCTTTGTTTTTGTCCCCAGGAACTTCTGCACTATTTAATCGCTACCCTGCTCCTCCTAATCGCCTCCATTGTGGCAGCCTCCAAGAGTTACAGCCAGAGCGGACTGGTAGCTGGAGCGGTGAGGACAGTCTCGGGGAACCTTCACGAATGAGTTCACTTCTAGTGCATTTTATTCCTGATGGGCAGCGAGGGGATTGTTTCCGGGGCCCTTCCTTTCCCAGAAAAGCACCCATCAGAACCCACCCGGATCCAGCCAACAGCAGCCTCCAAAGAGCCGGGTCCACAACAGAGGGTCTCAGCAGGTGGATGGTCAGGGTTCCTGGCACACTCAGATGGCCCCAGCGGCCCAGCCCTCCCTCAGACAGCCACTCCTCACATCAGGGGGCCAGTCGGTCTTAATGCACATGCCCGTTCGGGCCATTCGTTGGTGGCTGCCTCAGAGCTATGCAAAGATCCTGAGGCCTCTTTGGGGCCCAGGAAAAGAGCATGTGATCAGTTAGTGATACCTGCCATGAGCGGTAGCTCTGCTGGTCCTGATTTGTAACAGTATTCAGGCCGGGAAACAACACTGCTAGACCTTGCAAAGGTGAAAATTAATCCATCTGATAGCCTGAATAGAAGGATGGAAATGTATAAAAATATAGTGCTGTGGGAGCTGTGTTTACCACACATATGCAAATATATATACATGGGTGTGTTCACGTGTATGTATTTATTTTTAAAAGACACAGATTCCTGCCATCTGACTTCTGATTTAGCTAATTGGTTACAGTTTGGTGGCAATACCGATTTGCCTCACTGATGAGCAGATGAAATTTTTTAAACGAGGGTTTTTGTTTTGTTTTGTTTTGTATTTTTAGTGAGAGGGAGAGAGAAGCAAGTGGGTGCGAGGGCAAGGGAGGGGCAGAGGGAGAGAGAATCTTAAGCGGGTTCCGTGTCGGCACGGGGCTCCATCTCATGACCCTGAGATCATGACCTGAGCCACAATCAAGAATCAGACGCTTAATTGACTGAGCCACCCAAGCACCTCAATTTTTAAAATGAGTTTTAAGAAAAGCTCTATGAGACAGTCACTCTTTCATTTATATGTTAGCAAAATTGTCCAGACTTTGGGCTAGGAGTGGGTTAATGCCTGGAATTCCACCGAGGGGTGGGGTCTGTCCTCCAAAGGTGGGCACGGGGCAACCAAGCCTTTGAACACTCATGGGCTTAAATGCCTCCCCCTGCAGTTCCCAAGCAGAGGGGTGGGCACCACCTATAGCTTACCACCCGCCTGACTACAGGCAGGCTGGTGAGGGAGACACAGAGGAAACCGGTGCCCATTGTGTTTCGGGACCACATGGAGAGGTTCTCCCTGGGTTTTATGATTCAGGTTGCACATAACCATGTTTCTTAGCCCCGGAATCCCAATAAGCCCCATTTATCATACACCATCTTGGTGCCTAGGACCAAGCCTCGGCCATGGGGGGGTCCAGAGGAAACAAAAAGATACAGTCCTTGCTTATGAGAAAATGGTCATCCAGTTAGGAGTCAAGGCCAAGGCCCATGAAACAATTAGCAAACAAGGCTCTTCATCCAGAAGAGCACTATGTAGCAATATAATAAACTGTTCAATTATGCAGTGCAGACAGTAGGAGACCGGGATGGTATCTAATGTGCTAATTGTGCAGAACAGACAATGAGGGGCCAGGACAGGCTCCAACAGGCTAATTATGCGGTGCAGACAATCGGGGCAAAAGGAGCCAAGGAAAGGGGCCTGGGGGAGGGGAAGGCGGATGTGGCCTGTGGGGGCAGCCTCTTCTGTAAACCAGCAGCCAGGCTCGAAAAGCAAACCAAACCCTTGGAGACCGTGCCCTTTGTCTGGCTGCTCCCGGGCTGTGCCTACTGCACGTCAGCCCGTGGTTGTGGCCACGTCGCCAACCGGAGGCCATTTGCAAGTCCAGGAACATCTGGGCAAAAATCGAGCAGGGCTCTGGAGCCAGATTCCTAGGGCGCACATCCCATGTCCGGCCCTCGCTGGCTCGTGGCCCTGGGCAAACGAGCTGACTTGCTGTCCCTCCGTGTCTTTAGCTGCCAGATGAGGGAGACAGGAGGTAAGAGCAGCACCCACCTGGCAGTGGGGTGGGAGTTGAAGGGACCAGCACACCTAATGGGCTTAGAACCCGGGCGGGCACATAGTCGGTGGTCAGTAAGTTATAGCTCCTGCGTTGCTGTTCACAGGTCAGGAACTGGCTTCAGGCTTCCAAGTGCCAGACAGACACCAGAGTGTGTGCTTGCTTCTCTCTGGACCATCGGATGAGCCCCACCCGAGGCCCTTTTCCTCCCTGGCCGCCCTGTTCCTCATCTTTAAATGAAGCTGGACGGGGCTGGGTCAGCTTTCCTAGGTCAGCGAGATCAGCCACTTGAGCACTGGGTAGATCCTCAGAAAGGGAAGGAGCACTACCTTCACTGATTTTAGTCTAAGATTGTTGAAATATGTGCAAACATAAAACTGTATATCAAGGCCTCAGCTTCTGGCTATTACATAGCTATAAAGTGAGACAGAACAGAAAGCCATTAAGAGTGAAATGCAATGCTGCCCCATCCAGTAAAATCCATTTGAACGTTAGAAATTTAAAAACCCCTACTGAAATGTACAGTTCCACCCTTTTCTCTTTCATTAGCCCAGATAATTGTCTTGTACAGACAGCGCCTTGGCCTCAGCTCAGTTTTAAATACGAACCCCAACATGGGCCCTGAAGTTGCCTAGAGTGAGGAGGGCCAGGAGGTGGAGCCCAGAGCCTGAGGGCCAGGCCTGAGCTAGGGCCCTGCACCTGAGCAAGGACCAGGTGGTCAGGTCACTCGGTTCCCCAGGCTCCCCCTGGGCCACAGCTGAGACAGGGATGAGAAACATAAAGGACAGCCTGAGTGATTGGCCCTTGGCCTGGGAACCTCCTTTCTTCTCTGTCCTGTGCAGGTCTTCGGTTTCGTGGCCACCTTCCTCTGCCTGGCGAGCATCTGGATGTCCTACAAGATCTCGTGTGTGACCCAGTCAGCAGGTGAGTTCCGGTTGTCCAAGCACAGGCAATCTCTGAAAGTTCCCTCTGCCGGGGAACAGGGGGACGGCCTGTTGTGGAGTTCAGCAACAGGGAAGGGGCCCCACTGCAGGGGAGGCCTTGAGGGGTAGGGGCCCAGGTGGAGAGGCAGAACCCAAGGCCCTCTGCTCTTGTCCTGTTGCCGTAGCCCGGGACATCCTCACGTGTCCGCCGCTGATGCTGAAGCATTTTCTTTAAATCCATTTCCTAATGACAAAAATGAAGTGTAGGGAATTTAGAAAGTGCACATAAAGAAAAAGAAAAAATTTTTCATGAAAACCATCCGTCATCACATTACCCAAAATAGCACCTGCTGGGTGTCTGTCCTTCCAGTATTTCCTCTCTCTGGATGGATGGATGGACAGATATAAACATACATAGATATATATGTTGCTTTTATTAAAGGATCCGACTTTATGTGTTATTTGTAACCTGCTCTTGTTCCCCTACTTAACCACCAATCAGGCATTTTCCCCACATGGTTGGGGATTCTTCTCCAACATGTTTTTTTTTTTTAAAGTTTATTTATGAATTCATTCATTCATTCATTTTTAAGATTTTATTTTTAAGTAATCTCTACACCCACCGTGGGGCTCGAACTCACACTCTCCACTGACTGAGCCAGGCGGGGCCCTCTTCTCCCTCACTTTTAATGGCTCCATGCCTTGGTGTGCAGTTCACTGCAGTTCCCCTGCACGTCTGTATCATAGTTTACTTGTCTCCTATCTGGGGTCATTATGTTTTGTTTTTTTAATTCTTTGCTACTAAACAGTGTTGCAAAGAACAGCCTTGTAAATACAGCCCCACACTCATCCCTAATACCCTTTCTCTTTAGAATGCATTTCTAGAAGTAACACTGCTAAGAGCTGTTTTGATTAGTCTACTTCTCTACTCCAGCCCTTCCTTTCTTTGTTCTTCTACACTACAAAATATCAGAGCATGCACGGCCTGTGGGCTGAGCTGCCCCGCAGAAGGGTTGTTTCATCAGAGCTTCCATTTCCTTCCAGAAGCTACTGACGCTGAGGGCAGGGAGCCAGTCACAAAAGACCACAGACTGTAGGATCCCACTGATGGGAAATGTGTCGATTGGGCTCATCCCAAGAGGCAGAAAGAAGATGGTGGGGGGGCGGGGGGGTGTTGCCAGGGGCTGGGGGATGGGATGGCAGATGGGCAGGGGCCCTCTTTTGGAAGTGATGAAATATTCTCACATTGTGGTGGTCAGTGCTTGAGCCATCCTATGAATATTTGAAAACCTTGGAAGTGTGCAATTTAGACGGATTTAGTGGATTGTATGGTATGTGGAGTCTATCTCGGCCAAGCTGTTTAAAGAAAAAAAAAATGAATGATGAGAAGTAGAGAACGTGAAAGAGAGTTACTAGGTAACAGCTAAAGGTGGTATGTGTGTAAATATTGGCAGAAACATACGGCTTAAAATTCACAAAGTAAGAGCCAAAAGGCACTTCAAGTCCCCCTGAGGATGGGCTGGTTCAGCTTGGTCGCCGCCAGGCTGAACGAAGCGGGGGGGGGGGGGGGAGAGCAGGGATGGAAATCCTCCCCGCACTACTGAATTTTTTTCTCTTTGAGAAGTGTACTTAGAAAGGCTAAAATCATTCCAAGGGCGGTGGGTGCGGGGTGGAGAAAGGAGGAAGTGCACTGAGCCGAACCAGGTCAGCCCCCTGCTGTGTGGCTTCTGCGTGGGCCCTGCCCTGCCAGCCAGCCTAACTCTGCCATTTCCCTCCCAAGATGCAGCTGTGTGATGCCAACCCAGGCCCGGCCCCGCGGGGGGCCCTGCGGACAGGAGGGTCGGTGGGCCAGCCCCCACGAAGGGCTTCTGACCCTGTGCTCTTCTGCCAGAGTCCCGTCCACGCGGGTGGGCGCAGGAGGGGGGCTTCGGCGTCCTCCAGGGCTCCTGAGCTGCGCGGAGCCTCTCTTTCCAGTCCCCCTTGGAGAAGAGTCCTCCCCGCCTGGGAAAGAAAACCAGCCTCCAGGGAAATCTGGTCTCTCCCTCCTGCTTTGAGAACCACCTGCCTCAGGGACTGATGACCCCACTTAACCCACGAGGGAGGGGTTTCTGAAAACTCCTGCCTAACTCTGCTTCTACTTCACATTCCTCAGGGGAGTGAAGCTGCCTTAAGTCCTCTTATAGAAACCAAGCCATCTCCTAATTTATCTAGCTTGGAAAGCCTCTCTGGAGAGACCCTCTTCCTTTAAGTGAGGCATGTCTGCAGAAGCACTCTGTGGTCAGCCTGTCCCCAGATAGGAGATCCTGGCTCCTTTCGGGCCTCAGCCTTAATTCCCATTGTGTGTGTGTGTGTGTGTGTGTGTGTGTGTGTGTCTGTGTCCATGTGTGTGTTGTATGTGTGTGTCGATGTGTGGGCGTGTGTGTGTTGTAATAAAATATTGACTTGGCCAATTGCACAAGGATTTCTTATTAACTGAGGCTGTCGACCAGGAGTAAAGTGATGGGGCCCACAAAGCTCATGGGGAAGCCTGGGGGCCCACCCCTGTGTGTGCACACCACCCCTTCCCCGGAGGTGAGAACAGCAAAGGATGCAGAAGATACGGGCCACTCAAGATTTGCATATTTTCAGAGTAAATTGGTGGTGAAGGGTGGAAGCCAGTACTGTTCACACAAGACAGAAAGTAGTACTCAAGAGCAACACAGGCAGCCCTAAAAAAAAAAAAGGGGGGTAGAAAATTCTGGTACCTACTACAACACGGATGAAGCTGGAAGACATGATGCTGAGTGAAATAAGCCAGGCACCCCAGGACGAGTACTGTCCAATTCCATTTACAGGCGGTTCCTAGAGAAGTTACAATTCAGAGACAGAAAGTCGAAGGGTGGGGGCCGGGGCCTGGGGGCAGGGGACTGGGGAGTTCGTGTGTCTATTTGGGAAGATGGAGATGTTCTGGAGATGGATGGCGGTGGCTGCCCAACAACATGAATAATACCACTGCACGGCGCACCTAAAAATTGTAAAATTGGTACGTTTTATGGATCTTTTACCACAATTTTTTAAAAAAGCAATACAAGACATTCTGTCTAGGCACCTCCACCGCTGGAAGAGCCTCTTGGGGCGTGGGGGAAGACCAAGACCCAGGTCACACCCAGCCCAAGGCCAGCAGCATGGCCGGCACCGTGTTCTAGTGGGTGCTAGAGAATCCAGGCTGTGGGACGCAGGTGTCCTCCCTAAACCAGGCCCTCCCTGGGACTGCTCAGCCCAGGGCCCGTACCCCTGTGTAACCCAAACTCCATACCCAGCTCCCCAGCTCCCAGCACCGGGGAGGTGGCCCACAGGGCAGTCGCGGCCAGGCTGAACCAAGTAAAGAGAGGAGGGAAGACTGGACCCTGGAGGGAGGACAGGGCGTCAGGGGCCAACCTGAGCACCCCCCCCGGGGGGGGCGGCACTGGGAGACCAGGCCAAAGCTGGTCTGCCCACATCCTCCCCCACAGGCAGCCGGGTCCCTGGCCGGCAGAGCCTCCCTGGGGAGGGAGGGAAGATGGAGGGTGGCGCTCTCCCTTGGGGAAGCCTCTGCCACCCACAAGAAAAACCTGCTCAGACCTTGGTGGGGTTCTCTCCAGCGGGCTGGTGTGAGCAGCAATAAAACTGCCCCACACCTACCTTGAGCGGGCTGGCAGTGCAGCGGGGACCCAAGGAGAAAGCCGAGTGGGAAGCCAGGCTGGCGACAGAGCTGGGATTTGAGTCCGGGTCCGGCCCTCCCCTGGGCCTGACGTGTGACCACCGTACCCAGGAATGGCCAGGCCGGGGCTGGCCTGGGCCAACTGGCTTCGTCCACAGGCAGTTGGCTCTGATGTCTGCAGACGGGCCCAGAGAAGGAAACAAGTGTGTTCCTGAGGGAGGTCCTGCCAGGGCCTGACACATTCCTTGTGCTTGCAGCCGTGTGCTAGAAGCTTCTCTTCCAGACACCTTTACCTGCTCAGCCCTCCAGCCAGGATGCTAAGATGACCCAGAGCTGGCCCATTCCCTGTACCACCATCTCCCACCCAGGCCTCCTCCCCAGCATGAAAAGCTGACTCTGTTGCCATGGAAACACAAGGGCCTTTGGGGCCTCTCCTCAGCAACCAGCACTTTGAACATCCTGTGAACTCTCAGGGGTGCTTCAGGGGGATCGTGGCTGTCTGATTTTATGCACAAAATAGGTTAACCCCTTAAACCACACACTCTCCTGCTCTCAGTAGCAAACACACTGGAACCCCTCGACCCTCCCGCCCGGTGCGCCCCCCCCCCAGCCTCCCTCACCCTGGGCAGCCTCAGGGGACCCTGGCCTTGCGCCTCCAGGTGAGTGTCTATGAACCTGCCGCATCCTGGGTGTCCTGGGTGGAGCCGGGATTTCTCTGATCCGCACAGCCAAGACAAAGCAGGGGAATGAATCCAGAGATGAGGCTACAACCCCAGTGGTCTTACTCCAAACGGTAGGCTTCTCAAATTAATCCCATTCTTATGAGACTGACCTTACAGTAAGTATATAGAACTGTAAGCTGGCCATTTATATGGATATCCTATTTCCTGTTTTACATAGTGGACCTTCGTATGGTTTAGATTGAAAAGGGGGGGGGTTCTCTGTTTCAAAACAAAACAACAAAAAATGTTCAGAAGCCCCCCGAGAGGCAGGTTGCTGCCAGGCTGGGCACCAGGGGCCTGGCTAGAGCAACCGCCCAGGCTGGGGGAGGGGACATGGAGGGGCCTCCTCACGAAGACCACCAGGAGGGTAACTGGAGCGTTTGGACCTTGCAAGGTGAAGGAGGCAACTGGTGGCTCGCTGGGGTTTTATTATAATTTTCTCTGTCCAGGAGAATTACGCAAATGAGAAAGACCACGGTTAACTCCACGCAGGGTTGTGCAAAAAAGGAAATGCGGTATCAAGTGTGCCCCTTGGCTCAGGTAACAGCCAGAATAATGGTCCCGCTGAATGTCCATCTGACCAAAACGATGAAAACCCCTCCTTGCCCGGGGCACGGGGTGCTTGGGGGCGGGGAGGAAGCACCCCAGGGCTGCCAGATGCCCCAAGTGCCCGAGAGGCGGGGAAGTCTGGATTTTTAGGCTCCACATTTCCCGAGTTTAAAAAGGCTGCCAAACAAACTTTTAAAAGAGACGCTTCAGGCCGAACCAAGCCCGTGCGGAGGCTCTGCGCCGCCCGCGGGCCCTGGGTTTGCCACCCTGCGGGGCCTGCGGGCGCCGGGGACCGAGGGTGTCTGCTGGGCCCCAGGAAGTCAGGGCTGAGGCCGCAGCGCGCTGACGCTTCGCGGGCCGGCACCTGCTTCCTCCCGAAACCCGAGGGCAGCGCACGGGGCGGGGGCCCTCCCCGGGGAGTCCCCGGGGTCCCCTGCCAGCAGCCGCGCCCGCTGGTGCCCTGCCACCCCTCTCGCAGCTGGCCTCAACTTTCCTTTTTTGCGAAAACAAAACCCTGCGGCGGCGCACGTGGCCGCCGGGAGCGTCCTCACCTAGCAGCGCGCGCCCTCTTGTGGCAGCGGGGCGCAGCGCGGCTTTTAATTAACCTTGAACTGTGTGCAAACTTCCCGTTTCCTCACCCCTCCGCATCTCTCCTCTCCCAGCGTAACTTCCCGACCCTCCCATTCACCGCATCTTTGCTTTTCTTATTGTATAGCTCTATTAAAGTTATATGGATTGCCTAGAAAGCGCAGACAACTACAGTAGTTCTTTGTAATTAAATGAAATGGTCTCCGCGCCAAACGAAATCTTTAGGGACTTCATTCACTTACCATTATGTAGCGGTAACAGACATCCCCTTTCCCCCTTTATGCAACACTTTACATCCTCTGGGCCTCACGAGGCTCTTGATCCAGCCACCACTGCAGTGCCGGTCCTGCAAGGGCTGTGACCGATTTCATGCTGTCGTAACCACACAGCTGACGCCTGTGGACTCTCAGGTGGGAGCTTTCCTGTGGACGCTGCCAGGGTTCCCAGCCAGCACCCTCACTGTGCAACCCACAAGTGCAGGAGAGTGCCTGCCCTGGGGGGTAGTAGCCGATGGGACACAGGAGTCAGTGGATACGTCTGTTCTCCTCTCCCGGGACAAACTGTCCTGAGACAGGTTTTACATCACTTCTCCAAGACGGTTCCGTGGGACTGATGAAGTTTTAGAATATAAGTGAGGTCCGGAGCCCACGACCAAGAACAAATTCTTGAGACGTCTCTGGGGCAAAAAGGTGATTTTATTAAAGCCTGGGGACAGGACCCGTGGGCAGAAAGAGATGTTGCCCCGGGGTTGTGAGGGGTGGCTGATTATATACTTGGGAGTTGGGGGAGGTAAGGAAAACGGAGGTTTCAAAAGGATTTTTGTCTGTTAAAGAAGACTCACAGGCTACCAGAGGCCTTGCCATGGTCAAGTTAAGGTTGTTTTTCCTTCTAGTAAGCATAGATAAGTAAGATAGTTGGGAGCTTCCTGGAGAAACATTACACTTTGCCCTCTTCAAGTATCTGTCAATGGGCTGCAAATTATAAGGACATTTAATTTATCTACATTCCCTTCTGGAAGCTAAGCCATTGATAGAAATGCTTTGTCCTTGTAAATTGCTAAGACTTTTGTAAACTGAGGGAGACTCCTGTCTTGCAAGACTGTGATTTCTATCAGTTAACCATTCGTTTTTCCTTTAGGGCAGCCAGGAGTGCCTGAGGAATGTCACACATACCATGTGGGGTGTGTGTGTGTGTGTGTGTGTGTGTGTGTGTGTGTGTAGGGTGTCAGCTTCTGCTTTGTTCGTTGGGCTGGATCCGTGGGCACAAGAAGCAGGAAATACGTGGTGGCTGCATGAATAGCCTTACTCAGGGGGTGGCCTTGGAAGACAGGAGTGAGGGGAAATAACTCCAAAGGTCAGAGCTCCACTTGGGTGGAAGTGGCCCAAGGACCAAGTATAGAGCCTTGGGGAGAGGTGAATGGCCAGGGGTCTGGAAAGAGAAAGATCAGGAAAGTCCTGAGGGGCGTGGGGGACAGAAAGCCACCAAAACTCTCAAACAGGCAAGTCATTTGAACAAGACGTGGATTTCCTACAAAATAAAAATCCTGGGTAATGAGGCCACTGAATGCCAGGAAAAAAAAGGCAGCGCAGGGGAAAAAAACAAAAAACCTTGCCCATGCCCATATATTTTAGGACTAAGAGGCAAGGGAGGACAGCCTGAAGAGGCCGGACGGGGCGGAGCTGGGCTGGCTGGGGGCTGCCAGGGCGCGCAGAACAGCAGAAGCGAAAACCTGGGGCGGATTTCACAGGTCCCGTGGAGCAAAGCCCTCAATCTGAGCTGGTCCCATTCCGACTGCACCAATTAGCCGCACCACAAGGAGGGACAAAACTCAGGAATGGGACGGGGTCTCCAGATTCTACCCCACTCTGGAGAAAGCCCCAAATATTCCCCAACTTACTGGATCCTGGCTGTAGTTTT